TAAAGTCAAGTTTTTTCCAACATTTTGTTAATTATAAAGACAAATAAATGCTTGCAATAAAACTTTTTACGTTATTTATATTAGCCTCATGTTCAAAAATTCAAGAAATGTTGATTCTTTGATTTTTGGTGCATGAACCACGATTGTAATAATAAAAAGATTTAGTGTTTATGTTTGTACTTTTGTCTCAATGAAACCTATAAATATAAATATTATGAAACCATCATGTAAATTGTAATGGCACTCTTCCAACATAATGGTATTTAGGGAAGATAATTAAAATGGACACTTTTCTAAGTTCTTAATGCAAAACAAAAAATTTAATAGCAATGCGTTTTTAGGGAAGATAATTAAAATGGACACTTTTCTAAGTTCTTAATGCAAAACAAACATTTTAATAGCAATGCGTTTTATTCTCTTTTATATATTGTCAAAAGTGTTAAATTGTAATTCTCCCTAGTTTTTCATCAAGAGCTATATTTTGCAATGGTAATTAACTAATTATTTCAAAGACTCAAAAGTGTTATATTGCAATATTAATAAACACATGGCTATATTTTGCGATGGTAATTATTATTGATATTGCAATATAACATTTTGTTTATCAACAATCATTTGGATCCATCCAAGAACATTTCATATATACGACTCAACCTCAACTATGGTTCAAATCATCAATCCGGTGACCCAAGCTCAATCATCTTTACCAATACCAAACAAGCTTAAAAACGATATTATTAGTATGGTTCACTGTGATGGATTATTATTATGCAAATTACAATTTTGCAAGATGGTAGTTTGGAACCCATTTTTTCAATCATTTAGAAAGATTTCTCCCACCAATCCTTACTCGTTTAATGATGTTTACGGCATCGGATATGCTTGTTCACCTTGTGAATACAAAATATTGAGGTTTTACGATGGAGAATTCGTAGATAGGTGTGGAAATACGGGATCTCATAATCGAGATCTTCGAATTTAAGACTAGTTCTTGGAGATCTCTTGATGCTAATTCTTTAGGTAGGTGTGTAGTTTATCCATGTAAATGTCTCTGTGAAGGAAAACATTTATTGGATTGTTGAGTGGAATCATGGTTCCGATATGTTCATCCAAAGTTTCAATTTTTCGTGAGAGACATTCAAGCCCATATGCATGCTCCAATCCCATTGATTATAGTGATTTTGATGTTGTATCCTACTTATCTAGTTTCAACGGTGATGAGATTTTTTTGTAATACCAACACAGACAAAGTATATATGGAGATTTGGGTCACAAACAAGGTCAACGATAATGTTGTACTCCTTCACCAATGTCTTTGACTTGACAAGACCGGATCTCCCAAAATTGCTTACTAATGAAGCACTTGCACATCCATTGTACTATATAGACAACAATAATAGAGTCGTCATATGTTGTGATGAATTTCTAGAAGATGAATATATGATTTTCGTCAGCATATACATTATTGGGAATGATGGATTCAAAAAGAAATTTGCGATAGAAAAACATAGATAATTCCATCTAATGGTTATCCTTATTTTGGCTATACGTACCTTCCAAGTCTGGTTCCGATTCTAGAATAATGAGATAGACATATAACTAGCTTTTACTTATTTCAAAGTTGTTTTATAGCATAGTTTATATTTTGATGTCATTAATCATGCGTGTGGTTAGGTCATATATATGCAGTGTCATTATCATATGAAATATATTCTCCTTAAGGATGAAAATGGGTGTTTTCATTAAGATTGGTATGTGTATTAGTTTGAGTTTCGATTCATTATGAAATATAAACATTTCAAATATAGTTTATGTGCTAGTTCCATTCTTATTAATCAAGAAATCTCCTTATTGAATAGTTAATACATGTGGTCTACAACAAAGATGAGCAAAATATGAAGTTGATAACAAATTTTAGCCTTTTCATATGGAAGAAGAGCCTTGAAAAAATGAGGACCACAATGTGATTCATAAAAATAATCATTCAAAAGGCCCATAATGTTGTTGTAAAAAAATAAGCCCATATTGGAACTTCTAAGCCTATTTTCAACTCCCCATTAGTATAATATTGTCCGTTTTGGGTCTACATGCTCAAGTCCACAAGGATTTGTATTGGATTCCTTCCCAAAAGGCCACATACTAGTAGGAGTTGGACTTTACTTATATATTAGAAATTCTTTTCTAAACTTCCAATGTGGGACATATTCTCCTCAAAGAAGAAGCTTTATCATTGACAGACACATGCAAGCAAATATCTCAAATAATTAAAAAAAAACTGTATGATATGTATAATGAACAACTATTCACAAATATCTCACTAGCTCATCTTGTATTTTTCAAAACAACAATGTTGATCTATCAATAAGCAACGACCCACATATAAAATAAAGAATCATGCAAGATAGTTAATTGAAGTGTTAAATACATCATTTACGACCAAAGATCAATCCTAATCATGATTAAAAATTACCATTTTGCATTCAATGGCAAAAACAATGGATGACAAATAGTTATTCTAATAAAATAAATATGTTCTAATTATTTCTGGACTAAAACATGTAGTACAATACAGTTGTGTCAAATACCAACGTGTTATATATCACCACCCAAATTTCAATCCACATATAATATATTGTTGACGAAAACAAAAAGAAAAATGGATGAATTTGGACAACTTTATCTTCTATTTAAAAATCACAAAATATACTTTGCACAATTTTTATAATTAAAATTTTAAATATCTTTTAGCTTAAGCTAGGTTCTGTGTGCATATTTTGCACTATTTTTATAACTAAAATTTGAAGTATTTTATAGCTTAAACTAGGTTCTGTTTTATTGAGAGTATTAGGGAGTACTTGCAATTCAGTGACAGAAGAAGCAAGATTCTTCACGTAGAGTTTCTGATATATTGGGCCAGGCTGTTGAACCAAATTCCTAGCAGCTACAGAGTCATAGACATGAAACAGATCTCCAGATAGTGGTACGGTCCTGTAAGTTGATTATACATCACGATACTCAACTTCCCTACAAGTTGAGCAAAGAGAGATACTTAAATACAAGCACATTAGGACGAAAATATCATAAACAAAAAAAAAAATGGTAGTGGCACGATAGAATGAAAGCTCCTCCATCAATGAATAAAAGACTAAGGAAAGCCTGATAGTGCTTCCAATGAAAAGTTACAAGTGTGCAAGGGTATTGACATCATATTTATCATTATCGCATTGATATTGTATGCAATGGGAAGTAACAAGTGTGCAAGGTATTGCTGCCGCCCTCATCATTATCACATTGATACTACATGCAATGTGAAGTAACAAGTGTGCTGAGGTATTGTCGCCATCCTCATCACTATCGCATTGATAGTGCATGCAATAGGAAGAAACAAGTGTGCAAGGTATCGCCATCATCCACATCACTATCGCATTGATAGTGCATGTAATGAGAAGTAACAAGTGTGCAAGGTATTTTGTCATCATTCTTATCAATATTGTATTGATAGTGCATCTATAAACACAAGTAAACAGAGTAATTAGAAAATCAAAGTTGCATAAATATATGATATACCAATTGCGCGCACATACACAAAACTTTTATAGTAACAGAAACTGAAAGACAAAAACATACATGTTACTCTCACTCTCACGATGTCTGCTTCTCCTCCCCCCGGCCCTATCTTCACGTTTTCTCTTCTCCAACTCCCTCTCATCCATCCTAGAGAGGCCCTCACTCTTAAGATGTCTGTTTCTTGTCTCCCTATCTTCGAGATATTCAGGAAGTTGCTGAGAGAAAGGAGTTCTCCAATTGTTTATGGTTTTTAAGTATATGAAAATTGAAAAGTATGCCTTTTAAGGTTTGCTAAAATCACCGGAATATATCGAACCGGCCTTGAATATGCACCATGATGAACAATCCTCAAATATCTCAGTAGCTAGAGGTGTCAAACGGGCCGGCCTGTGATGGGCATTCCTTTTCGATAGACTGCGACAGGCCGGCCCGCGGGTAAATTTATTTTAAAACTTTTGAAATTTAAAATAAATTTTAATATTACTTTTTGTAAATATTAGAATTTAATAAATTAAATTTCTTTATATTATCAAATATTTCACATATTTTATTTCATAATTAAGTAAAAATATTTATTTATAGATATTATTTATTTATTTCTATTAAACCTTTGTACCCTGCGGGCCGACCTGTCAATCCGCAGGCAAAATCCGCTAAAACCCGTAATCCGTTTGGACTGGCCCGCAAAGTCCTCTATTTTATGGACATACAAAATGATGTCCAAACCCACCCCGCCGTGGTACTATACGGAGGCCCGCTTGACACCTATTTTTCAAAACAACAATTTCTAATCACTGTAAGCAACAAACCATATATGAAAATAAAGCACCATGCAAGAGACTTAAGTAAAATGTTAAATACATCATTTAGGTCCAAAGAACAATCTTAAATCATGACTAAAAAAATACAATATTTGCATCCCTCATGTTGATCTACACTAATCCGCGTTTCCTTTCCTCCCTCCTCCGAGATCATGTTAGGTTTAACCGTTTAAGCCAAAGATGAAACGAAGAGAAGAGGATTAGAGAGAAGAGAAGGTCACTTAAGACCACCATTATCCATGGGCTCTTAGCCAAATCTTAAGTTAAGATTTGTGAAGAAAAAGCTTAAATATAAACCTAAAAGCTCTTATATAAGAGCTCTTTCTTCACAAATCTTAGCTTAAGATTTGGCTAAGATTCATCTAAGAACCCATGGATAAGGGTGCTCTAAGGTAATTCAAAACGACATAGTAATGACTTAATTTTATTTAAAGTTTTTTTTATTTATGTTAAACGGCCTCTCAAAGCGAGCGCGTGTAACCCTTTCAACACGAACACGTTCTTCTTCTCTCTGCCTTCTTCTTCTTCAGACTTCAATACATGAAGAACACAGCTGATGAAGCTACTTCCACTACCCTTTGATTCCAATTCGAATTCTCCTTCCATTGTAATCATCGGATGCAGCAAAACAAATCCTACAATTCGATTCTTGTCATAATCCATTGGACTCTTGTCTGTTTCTGAAAGAGAGTGTGTGTTTCTGCGGTAATGGGTCAGCAATTGCGTCGAGCTGTTGGGAAAATCAAAGAAGTTGAGAGATCATCACCATCAAGGGTCGTCGTTGATCGGAGATCGCTTCCACCGGAGGAGCTCAGCGCCGCGAAATCACCATCTCCGTCTACTGCCGCCGTTGATGGTGTTTCTGGTATAAACCCTAAATCTCTCGCATTTGGGTATTCGAAAGTTTTCACCTTTAGATTGATGGTGAAGCTTGGGCTGCTTTTTTAACCATTTCCAATAAATGTTCGTTTTTGATCTGAATTTGGGTATGTATCTGTCTGTTGTTAGAGAAAGGTCGAAGAACCAGTGACAGTGAGGATAACGTTTTAGAGGAAAGAGACCCGAAATACGATACAATGTTGAACCAAATGGTTGGGAGAATAAGAGCTAAACCTGGAGGCAAAGCTGAGATGGGAGAGGTTAGTTGTGTTTCCCTTGCTTTGTTTATTTGTTGTTTGATTAGTTGATGCATTGATTCGAGTCTCATCAGGACAAGTATGTGCTTTTGAATTTTTAATATAGATCCATCTGATTACCTGCAGTGATGGTCAGTGCTCATCTTAGTTATGTAGCTAGCTGTTGAGAATGATATAAGGAACCGTTTGTGTTGTCTCTAAGTCACATCTTGTGGATTTTTTGTCATTAGTCATGTAAAAGTTTCGTTACTGGTTGGTTTTAAGGTATAGGTAGATGGATTCTCAAAAGGTTTCATGAACAATGCTTATATTAAGGATTTTTCCCCCACGGTCCTCTGCGACATTCTAGAATTTTATTCTGGACTGAACATCAGTTTTAGAGTAACTGATTTATGTAGCGTAACCAGATTAGAACTTAGAAGACCTTTGATAACGTATTGTGTCACACCAAATAGTTACAAAACTGGCGGCATAAGGAAGAAGTGAACAGATTTTGTCACATTTTCTGCTACTAATCTTAAAGCTGACAATGATTGGTGGTGTAAATTAAGTTGAGGATACGAGATGAAATTTGGAGTTGTAGATAATGCAAAAGGGCCATATATGAATTTGTAACTAAGCATTGTGAGTGTTTATAGTTGCGGGTTTGGTCTTTTCTGTGTTTAAATCCAAGATATATCTATCTGCATAAACAATGATAAGACTTTGTGATTTATATAGGCATCAGTAGTTGAAACATCAAAAAGGCCACTCCCAAAGCTCCGGAACACAACTCCTGAATCAACAAGATATGAGGAAAACCCGGTGCCTCAAGGAACATTGAACGTAGCACAAGTGCGACACATCATGCTTCTCTTTCAGGGAAAAGCTCAGGATCACCATGGTCCAATGAGTGCTAACGAGATAGCTGAAAAGTACCGGATTAATGTCTCTCAGGTACAGAAGATCACCCAGTTCCTCTCTTTGCCTACAGAGGTTACTGATAAGCAGAAGAAACAATATGAATAAAAGTAAAGGCTTGTTCGTTCATATTCAGAAGTAATCAGAACTGGTTGGTTTCTTTTGTCCTTGCCAGTTTTAGAAAGTTTTGTGCGTCGATATGTAACACAGAACCAGAGATGACATTGACTTCGATTTTTTTTTTCTTCCTCTGAGCAATAATGTAAAACTGTGTAGCTAAGAATACAAAAGCTTTTTTCAACCAAGCCATGATTCTTTGAAAATTGCAGTAACACACTTTGCTGATATGAATGAAGAGATTTAGTGAAACTCTACCGTTCCTAGTATGAAAGAGTTTGCAATATTGGTCTCTTTTCAGACAAGTATGGAATCTTATATTACTTATTATTCGAAAGCAAAAGAAAATAAGATTTACAAATAGAATTGAAGAATTTTCCAAGTTCATGTCAAATTTGCCTCAAACCAATCGGATGCAAGTTCATAGGCCACAAATGTTACAGCACCAGCAGGTGCAGCTTTTATGGTTGATGGAACAATGCCTTTGTAGAGGCCGTGCCAACCTTCTGATCTTAATATCTGCCCTAAACCGTCAAACATGTTCTTGTAAGCATTTAGCTCTACTCGGGCTCCATATTTCGGGTGCCGTTCTAGACCTTCGACCTGCAGCGACAAACATTCTTGCATCACACCTTGATGTTTGATCTAAAATGCTTATAAAATCACTTTAGGCATCTGGTAATGAGGACTTCAATGGTCAAACGCATTCAGAACACACAGCTACAACACAAGCGGAAGTCAAATGGTCAGAAACTAACCTGGAATCTTTTCTTGACAACATCAAGCGGATGACAGACTAGTTTAGAAACAGTGCCAGAAGCTAAACCGCAAAGGAAAAGCTGAAAGCTAGAAAGACTATCACTTGGATTCGTTGAGCTTGATGAAGAAGATTGGTATCGCTTATTATAGACCTAGCGCAAAATGTATACCAACAGTGAGATGAGAAGTCCAGATACAGCTTAAAAATAATCTGCTGCTTAGAACACAAAGTTAATAGAATCAGTTGTGATGGAGGCAATGGTGTGGATCTATTTTATATATTCCAAAGGAAAAAAAGACTGGAAACGTTCATGAAGCTGTAGCTTACCATACTCCAGCGTTTAAATGTGTCATAAGTGCCGAACTGCAGACCAGCATAAGGAATGATCTCGATCAAAGTTGGGGACAATCCTGCATACAACCCTTTGACTCCACGAGTTTTCACTATACTCAGAAATGCTGATCTCATATTTGGATATACCTACCCCCCAAAAAATGTGATATATCAACTGTCAATAACTGATAGTATCATATTAATTCATGGTTAATTATGACATATCAATGAAATAATCAAATTCTCTATGAATATCAGAGAACTCTATCGATGGGTTTCAAGCTATCTCAAAAAATGACTATATTTATGTCAACGCATTCTCTACTTTTTCTTTTTCGTTTCTTTCTCAAAATATATTGTAAACATTCCAGAGAACCCATAACTATGTCATCACATTCTTTTACTGAAGAAATTGTGTACCTTTGGCTCACCCTGGGAAGCCAATACAGTCCGCAATAGGTCAAATGGATACGATCCAACTGTTGCTGCACACCCTGCTAGTGCCCCACTGATGTAAGAAAGATAAGGGCTCAGTTGAGCATGATTTTCTGCAAAAGATCAGAACTCAGAATTCCTTGCAAAAACAACATGCTAAATTTCTTTGTTAACTTTCTAAAACATTGTGAAATGGTTCTTTCTTTTGTGGCTTGTGTAAATTTTCAAGGGGATCGTAAAATGTGTAAATTTTCAAGGGGATTGAAACATGTACATGAATATATAAAGCCAAGTCATCTTGCCAAAAACAGCTCATTCAAAGGCTAAATTCACATGAACCCAAAAGTTTTAAAATGTATATAGAATCACATCTTGGATATAATACATGTCACTAACAGATCTATTCAAAGTTAGTGATGTACCGGCCTTTGATGAACCAGCGGCAAGAGACTTCACCTTATGTAAAACTGCAAACTGTATGGATGTATAAGGCACAACCATGAGTAAAGCTGGGACATTTCCACGCCAAAAGCCCTGCCATAAGGAACTTGATTTAAAATTCAGAAAATGTCTGTAAGCCATAATTATGATGAAATCAATTCCTAAAGAAGTCTAGAATAGGTCATTCATCCACTTATCAGTGTCCACAAAATTTTAGAAAGAAGAAGGCTATGAGTGCTCAAAATCTGCAGTTGAATATCATGTATCATAACCGTGGAGATTCTCGAATATCAGACATAAGTCTAAATCAACGAGGCTGCATCGTCATCAAGATATTTATAACACTACACAGTCCAACTCAACAAAATTAAGCTTACCATTAGAGATGACGAAAAAATCATATGCCAAGAAAAGAATTGGTGTGAAAACTTTGCATAGGTGACAACATTTGTAAATGACTCAGCATAAGAAAATACAAGAGTTAACACCTTAAAAAGAACAATAACTAGTGAACGACTTACCGATAAACCTTCCTCTCTAAAGATATCCTTTGTTGTTCGAAACAAACCATTATACTTTGGTTTCAGCGGAGAATCTTTTTTAGTCAGAGCCCATGAAGCTGTAGGCTCTAATTGAACCTGAAAATTTCAATACTTTAACTTCAATGACCATTCCTTTTGGTCTTAATTCCTCAAATAAACTTATGCAACCAAACTCTCCCACAATATATTCTTGAGTCACAAAAACATATGTGCATAATCTAAAGCCACAAAGCCCAATGAACTAAGAATCTTTGCTTACCTGAAATCTAATCTTGATAACATCAAGGGGAGAGGTAACCATACGTGAAATGGCACCAGCAACAGCACCAGCAGAAGCATCAATCACAGCACGTTTTAACTGTCCAGGCTCTTCTAACTCTGTACCACTCATGATCACCAGCTCCTAGCTATAACCTGAAACCATCGTGTCAACAACATCAAGAACACACAATTACATAGAAAAAGACTGAACCACAAAATTAGATTGAAAAAAATCAAACAAGCTACACATATACATAATCTGGAAAGTTGATTCTGAATACCTAAAACAGAGGAATTAGGGTTCTATCGTGTGTGATCATGTTAGAATCAGTCGATGTTGGCCGCAAGAAGAAGAATTTTACAGATAAAACTAATTGGAAAACAATAAAAACTCAAACTTTCATGAAATTCTCCAGCGAAACTATGGAACCGTTTTAAAACTGTGGAAGAATTACAATGTAGAGAAATCGATTGTAAAAGCTGAGATTTTTAGGAAATTGGAAGAAAAAAAGTGATTGTTTCTGTGATTTAGATAAGTATATAAAAGAAGAGGAACGTACAATGGTAGATACAAGGAAGGAACCGCCATGAAAGTGGTTATTGGAAGCTTTTAGGACTTTAGAGTAAATAAACAGAGGACTCTGTTACCGCCATTTATTGATGGGATCTCTAAAGAAGAAGAAGAACAATCCGTAGCTGAGAGCTACCAATAAAAACACAACTAAAAATAATAAAAGCAATAACACTAAAAAAAAGAGAGAAACTTTAAAATTTGTGGTTCTACACAAAAAAGTTGTAAAAGCATGGACCTCAAATTAAGTCAAAGATAGCTTAATAAACCAAACATTTATATTATACATGCTAAACCTTACACATGTAATTTCTACTTTGATTATATGAGAATTAATAAACTTAATTTGTGGAATATAGGAAAGACTTTATAATAATAATAAAAAATTGTTTAGAACAAAATAAAATTTAGGAAGATTATTATCCAGTATGCATCAAATCATCAACATATTTATTGTGTAACTATTTTTAAATGAAATTATTTAAAATTTAAGAAGATTCTTATCCATTAATTTTCAATTTTAAGAAAATGAAAACTTGTATGAAGTATTTTAATTTTGTTCCATTTCATGCAAATACAAAATCATATTATAATAAATAAATATCTTTTTTTTTCTTAGATAAAAGGTTTTCCAATTTAATTGCAGGGTAACAACAAATCATATGTATGATCTTTTGGATCATATAGTTTTTAGAAAGTATAGCGAAAGTAATGACAATGGATAAGAAGGAGAGAATTAGTGATGTGTTATGCCACTAGTCTCCTCCAATGGATGATTCGTCGACCTCCTCTACCGCCACAACCCACAAGGCCACAACTGTCCACATTTCTTGAATCGTTTTGAAATTGTTATTCCGATATGGAAAATCTTGTTGAAATTAGATATATCACATATTATGAATTATATAACACAACGTAACCAAGATTTTATACATACACCTTATAAACAGTGTTACAAACTCCAGTACAACATAAGGAGACATTGAAACACAAACACAAACAACACAAGTAACACATAGGCATAGTGCGTGAAAGACCTTATTTACCATTTACAAATGTACAGTGACAATTTCTAGAACAGAGCTTTTTTTTATAGCTCATTTTTATTAGACTGAGACTTTGAGAAAAGATTAAAAACTTCACTTGGAAATGGGCTTGACATGGACTCCAACTTGGTGAATTATGTCTGCACCCGCTTTGCCATGGAACCCAACGACCTTGTGGCCATCTTCTTTGAGTAGGACGCTTTTGGCACCTTCAAGTCCAAAAGGTGGAGAGGTTCGCTTGTTAGTAGTGAACCTAAGCATCGTTATAATTTCACCTTCATTTCCAAATATGTTGTCGTAGTTAATCTCCACCGATGTTATATACTCGTTCGGATATTCAAGCACGAACTGCAAAAGAAGAAAATAAGATTTTACGTACGAAACAAAATTTTGGTCTTATATACTGATTCTTCTATGTATATAATTTGACCTCTTCAGGTGCAAGTAGTGTTCTTTTCCCATGATCATTTCCGGGGACCTCCTTAGAGTCCTTGTCGTAGATGAACTTGACGTATGATACACCGGAATCGCCCTGACCTATATACACTTTCCTCACACCATCATGAGCACCATCGTCCCATGGATTTCCCACGTTACCACCTTTTGCTTCTAGTTTCTTGGCACCAGCTGATCCTGTTGGTTGAGCTGATCCAGCTGGCTGAGTGGCTGAAGGAGTACCACCACCGGATGAAGGAGCGAAATAAGCTCCCAGGGCATGAAGAAGTTCGCCTACTCGTCCATGGAACCCAACTAGTTTGCCACCATTCTTGTCCTTGAGTTCATATTTTTGTGAACCCTCGAGTCCAAAGGGCGGTGAGATTTTTCCCTTGGATGTTTTGAAGATTAAGGAGGTGATAACTTCCGTGTCTTGCCCAAAGATCCTATCGGATTGCACCTCCACTGATGTGATGTAGTCGTCTGGAGCAACCTCAAACTATACAAAGATTTCAAATGAGTTAATTCTTTGGCAAGGCAGGTCATAAGATAAGCAAGCTGCAATGAATTTGAACTTTCTAGTTATAATATAGAAAAGGAACTAAACACACACACCACTTCTGCTCCAAGCAAGGTCTTCTTTCCGTGTTCACGTGATTCCTTCTTACCGTCCTTCTCGTACTCGAACTTGACGTAAGTGACACCAGAATCACCTTGTCCAATGTACACTCTTCTTACATGATCATGAGCACCATCGTCCCATGATGTTCCTCCTTTCCCACCTTGAGCATCAACTTTGTTGGCTTGACTCAAACCGGACGATGACGAGGAAGATGGGGAAGGTAAGGGAGCAAAGTGGACGTCAATAGAGTTGAGGACATTGCTGCTAATTCCTTGAAAACCAGCAATCTGGTTATCTTTGGGTGCATGAATGGAGAATTGGTTCCTTGTTTTGTTTCCGTAAGGACCATATTCGGTTTTATTGGTCTTAAAAGCCAAGGCTGCTATAGCATCTTCAGCCCCCGTAGTTTTGTAGTAGCCAGTAACATCTGTTATGTACTCGTCAGGGCTCAAGCTCACCTACAATAAATAAAATAAAACATTCGATTAAACTATACAAATAAATAAATCACTATAATAGATATATATAGTTTATATATTTGGTAGACCAAAATTTTCCTAGCCCTAGATCATTTTTATATCCTTTTATTAGACCTAGCAGGACGGGACATCAAACCCCATCATTCTTTTTGTTTTTCATTTAGTAATTAAGTGAAAACTAATCAATATTAAGACAACCCCGGCAAGACCACAAAACCGACCAAACTAGACCAATTGCAACATCTATAAATCGAAAGATCATATGTATAAATGGGGAAGGTCGTGATGAGTACTAACGCCGTCAGATTTCTTGCCAGGAGTGCCGTGACGGTGAGGGTTATGAGTGTCTCCGTCGTATTCAGCCTCTATGGAGTTGATAACATCTTCATATGTAATCTGCACTCTTTTCACCTTCATGTGCTTCCCGTCGTCCCAAGACATCGTTGCGGCCGCCATTGTATCTGACCATTTTACCACCAACTGTTAATTTTTATTTTTGATTAATAAAGGAAAACGGCTATGTACGTATTTTTCATTTATTAGGTAAATTTATAGCATTTTCATTGTACTTTTAAGATAATCGAAAAGAAAAAAAATACAAAATTAAAGAATGAAGAAAATTAAGTTTTCCTTTTGTAGTTATAACTTGTAACGCTATAATAAATGCAAATAATGAAGTGAACCATTAGGAAAGAGAGGCTACGTACCTCTGATTTTTTTTTCTTTGGTTGACAAAAAGAGATGAGAGAGTTGGTGTGGTGATGACTGATGCATGCAAGTGTGTTTTTATATAGACAGGGAGACTTATTTGGATAGCGACTAGCTAACTCAAAACCAAACTTGCGTGGCTCTAAAGATCACACGTTACTCTATATGATAATTGTTCCACTTGTTGAAATTCTTGCGACATCCACTTATGACCCTTCAAATATCAAACACTTGGTCACAATATACACATGTGCTTCTACAGAATCATACACTCAATCTTAACATCCAGATGTAAAATTTATTCGACGTACACATCATGTGTAGCACATGTGAATATTACGAACACATGCGAATATTGCGCCTCAAAAAGAGGAGACTACAACACAAAAAGGACAATGTGCATGCAATAGTGAGAGTGACAAAGAGACACTTGGCCTTCAAGAACTCATCAATCTGCATGTAATAGTGTAAATACACTTGGCGGCCTCCAAATACAATTTTTGGCTTTGCATTTCATCACCCGATCGGTGCTACGTACATGCATCATGTATGTATATATCTATAAATATATAACGATATTCTCCTTCTAAATTGATTCCAACAATAGTCGTCCACTATGTTTTGAAATTTGACCAAAAACACGCTCGTGAGCTTATACAAAGAATCAACAATGAAGTTTCCTCTCTTGGGGTTACTTTTGCTCCTAAGTCTTGTCGGCTCTACGACAAGGGCTGAAGAAGGACCTGTTTGCCCGAAGACCGAAACTCTTAGCCGTGCTAGTTTTCCGGAGGGCTTTATGTTTGGTACCGCAACCGCAGCCTTTCAGGTACATGCATATGTATACAAACTAGATAAAATATCCTACTAGGACAGGATATTAAAACAATTACAAAGATTGGATGAAGTGAAGAATATGTTGGGAAATGTAACAATGAAAATTATGTATTAATGTGGTGAATCTAGGTGGAAGGTGCAGTAAATGAAGGTTGCAGAGGTCCAAGCCTGTGGGATATCTACACCAAGAAATTTCCACGTCTGTCTCTCTTCTTTTCCATTTATTTTCGACCACGAAGCATATATATGCCCACTTATTAGTAGTTGAATTTTTATTTTTTCTTAACATGCCAATTAGAGGTGTTAACGACCAGTGTTATAACTAGGACTGTTTAGCTAATGAAAATAAATCACATTTTCGTACTATGTTAAACTGCAGATAGAGTTAAGAATCACAACGCTGACGAGGCCGTCGATTTCTACCATCGCTACAAGGTATTCTAGATCTCTTTCTTTTCATTTAAAAAGTTTGATCATTGAGAGTATTAGTTTTTAACGTTTAGTTTAAACAATTGAAATATGATTGAAGTATTCTACATAAATTTTGACCAACATTTTATCAAAACAGTATTAGAATAATTTGTAACAACACAAGATGAATAGTGAAATCAAATAAGAACTAAGTTGGTAACTATATAATACTTAGTCGAGAAGTGAATCATGAGGTTCAATATTCATAGATATTTTTTAAATAAGTTTATATATTCGATTAGAGAGGCTCTACAGTGATATTTATTATTTTTTTTGGTCAAGGGCTTTAGGTGGAAGTCATATTTAAAATTTTATAAACTAACGTTTGCTTATTTAAATGAACAGGAGGATATCCAGTTGATGAAAAAACTGAACACTGATGGTTTTAGACTTTCCATTTCGTGGCCAAGAATATTTCCCCGTAAGTTCAACCATTC